AAAAAATGCTATTAGACAAATTTTAGTAGATAAAACTAACAATAGGAAAAATTGTTTAGATTAAAAGAGGTTATTCAGTTTTTTTAGGAGTAAAACTCAAGAGAAGCTTGATATTTTGAAATATATTATTGCAACTCAAAATCTAACCATGGGAGTTAGAATTGCATGTCCCGAGGATGGACATTTTGTCAGGATTGGAGCCCAGGCTCCAAGGGGGGTCCTAGGAGCCCCCTCCTGGCACAGTCACCCTGGCAGCCTCTCCTCCCCTGTGAGGGTGGATGGGACCTGCAGCTGGTTTCTACTCAGCAGAATGTGCCAATTGCAGGGTACGGGGATGCCATGTCTGTGATTATGCTGCACTACCCTGGACGCTGCCTCTCCAGGAGACTCACCCTGGAGGTTCTCCTTGCTGGCTTGAAGAAGCGAGAAAGCCTTGTCAGCAAGGATCTGTGGATGACCTCTAGGAGTTGAGAATGACCTTCAGGAACTGAGGGTGTCCTCCAAATGATGGACAGCAAAGACCTGCGGTCAGTGATCCTGCAAACACTAGGAGATGGATTCCGCAACCACCTACATGAGCGTGGAGGTGGATTCTTTCACAGCCGAGCTTCCAGAGGGGAATACGCCCTGGTCATCATCTTAATAGCAGCCTTGTGGGACCCAAACCAAAGCCCCTGCCAACCTGGGCTCTGACTCCTGACCCACAGGAACTACGAGATCGTAAATACTGTTTATGCCACTGCATGGTGGTCATTTGTTACCAGCTGTAGATGACTGACAGGCGACAGGAAGCCTCCTGGCAGCTCCTCTCACCTGCTTCCTCCCTATGTAGGGCCTCTCTTGACATCCCTAGGCACGGACACGTGCCTCTTCCCAGCCCCACCACACTCACGGGGCTGATGAACGTTAGGCCGCCTGCTGGTTTCAGACAATTTCTCTCATTCTTCCCACTGGTGATTTGATATCCTACTTTCTTTCGGTTTCTCAGTGTGAGGGAGACCCAGACACATCACAGGTCTGTCCTTAGTGAACCGGGGCACACAATTGGGGCCTGTTTCTTAGACCCCTTGCACACTTCACACTATATGTCTCAGTGTGACGTCGAGTTTGTAGTTTGGTTCCTCCTGATAATATTCATGTTCAAATTGAGATGCTTCACCTCTTAGAGTAGCAAGGATACAATGCACTTTGTCATATGTTTGTTGTAGCATGTTTGTTGTTGAATCAAATGGTCTTCTAGGGGGACGGCTTTTTGAAATCCTTGAAAATAGTGAATGGGAACTCAGTGGTTAACAGAACAAGGTGTCCTGGTCAACACGGCACAGGAAAAATTGAGGGACAACCCTGAGTCTCCTCACAGCATACTTTTCCCCATTCCCTTTCTAGGCCGTATCTTCTGCCTCTCTGTTGCTGGGCACCTCGTCATTAAATCAGAGACAGGAGAGGCATTCGATCATCGTGATCATTTCTTTGCCAAGGCAGAATTGATCCCCGGAGGATATTATGTCTTTGCCTCATCTAATCTTCCGCATCTCGGGAAACTCTGCCGCTCCTCCAGGGACACCTTCCCGCGGAGCAAGAGAGCTCATCTCCTGTTCTTCCTAATCATTCTACCAACTTTTTCCTCCTCCAATTTGCCCCATTACTTCAAGTCAAACCTCCTGTATCAGGTCTAACGAACCCTCACAGCCTCCCATTAACTAGTGCTGCTGGCTCTTATGACCTCATTCTGTTGTCAGCCAAATTGTCATTTAATATTATTTATTCCCACAGTTCTTCTTGACAGCCTGAATGTTGTTGCACTGAGCCGTGCGGGTAGTCAGGTGTTCCTAATCCTCAGACGATGCTTGTTTTCTGAACCCTTTCTGAAGAAGGGGTGTGCTTGCTAGCTGCATTTACACCCTGCACAGTGATAGTTTGCAGGGAGCAGGCATCTAAGGGCTCCGCCCTCCCTGGGCAGGGACATTGTCCAGAGCTCCTCTGTGCTCTGCGAAGAGCAGAGGGCTTACCCAAAACCCTCCTGGCCTGTCTCAGCAGGTGCCTTTGGAGATCAGAACTCCCCTAGAGCCTGCCTAATGCAAAACTAATGACTTCAAAGTTTCAGAGCCAGGAACAGGGCTGTGGGGACAGGAATGACCAGGACACAGAGGGGTATTTCCAGGACTTTCTGTGTCCATCATGCCAGGGTACCAGTCTCAGACAGAGCCCTCTTGACCAGTTCTGTGGCCAGGGACACAGCGCTCATGAGGGACCAGGTGTCTTCCTCTCAATCAGGTGCCCTGGGGCGACATCAGCTAGGAAGACCTCCAAGGCCCCCATCTGTGGAGAAAGCCTGAGTGCCCGATGTGGCTCACAAGCTGCTTCCAAGACACCATTGTGGCTGCTCGGGTGTGGGTTCCAGCAGTCCTGCCCATCCAAGGTTCCAGCCCCACCTGGCCTAGGTACTGCTAGAAAGGTGGGAGGGTCTCATCAGGCCACTGTGCCGGGTGACACTCGGGGGCTGCAGTGTGGGAAGGAGCCATGGAGTGCGGTGGGCATCCCTGGCCACTGCTCGGTGGGCTTGTCCCCACTCCCCCACCCTCTATTCATGGGCTGCTGCTGTCTGGGTGGGATCCTCCAGGGTGTATCACCCATGGGAGCTGAGTCTGACACATTCTCCGGTTATGTTCTTGCCTTCTGCTTCTCATCTGCTGCCTACTCTCCTACGTCCTCTTCCCTGAGCTCACACCACCCTCTCCACCCTCCTCACACCATTCCTGTTTGGCCCCAATCTCCACAAGCTGGCTTCTGACAAGGGGATGATCCCAGACCAGGTCCCTGTCCACAGCCACATGCTGAACTCAAGTCCCAGGAACCTTTCACACATATTCATGTCTCACACCCTCACCTCCCAAACCCTAATCTCCCACACACATTCACCTCTCACACCCTCTCCTCTCACTCCCTCTCCTCTCACTCCCTCTCCTCTCACTCCCTCCCTTCACACCCTGTCCTCTCACACACTCTCCTCTCACTCCCTCCCCTCTCACACTCTCTCCTCTCACTCCCTCCCCTCTCACACCCTCTCCTCTCACCCCTCCCCTCTCACTCCCTCCCCTCTCACACCCTCTCCTCTCACCCCCTACCCTCTCACTCTCTCCCCTCTCACACCCTCTCCTCTAACCCCCTAGCCTCCCTCTCTCTCACTCCTACCCTCTCACACCCTCGCCTCCTCATACCTCTCACCTCCTCACCTCCCCCACCTCCCTCCCTCTCACACCCTCTCTCCTCTCCTCCCTCTCCTCTCTCACTCCCCTCCCCTCTCACCCTTACCCTCCCTCTCTCACTCCCCCTCCCCTCTCCCACCCTCTCCTCTCCTCCCTCCCCCTCTCACTCCCTCCCCTCTCCCACCCTACTCCTCTCACTCCCTCCCTCTCTGCCTCCCTCCTCTCCCACCCTCTCTCCTCTCACTCTCCCCCTCCCTCTCCTCCCTCCCCTCTCACGCACCTCTCCTCTCACTCCCTCCCCTCTCACTCCCTCCCTCTCCTTACCCTCTCCCCCTCTCTCCCTCCCCTCTCATACCCTCTCTCTCACCTCCCCTCACCTCCCCTCCCTCTCACACCCTCTCCTCTCACTCCCTCCCCTCTCACTCCCTCCTCTCCTTACCCTTCCCTCCCTCCCTCTCATACCCTCCTCTCATACCCTCTCCTCTCACCTCCCCTCACTCCTCCCCTCTCTCCTCCCTCCCTCTCCACCCTCTCCTCTCTCCTTCCATCCTCCTCCCTCACCTCTCACTCCTCCCTCTCACCCTCCCCTCTCACACCCTCTCCTCTCACTCCCTCCCCTCTCACTCCCTCCCCTCTCACACCCTCTCCTCTCACTCCTTCCCATCTCACTCCCTCCCCTCTCACTCCCTCCCCTCTCACACCCTCCCCTCTCACTCCCTCCCCTCTCACTCCCTCCCCTCTCACTCCCTCTCCTCTCACTCCTTCCCCTCTCACCCCCTCCCCTCTCACTCCGTCCCCTCTCACACCCTCTCCTCTCACACCCTCCCTCTCACTCCCTCCCCTCTCACTCCCTCACAAAGGTAACTAAGGCATTACTGCCTCCCATCTGGAGAGCTCCAGCACTGGCCCAGGTCTGCCACTGTCATGTCCTGATTGATATGGTTTGGCTGTGTCCCCACCCAAATCTCATCTTGAGTTGTAGTTCCCTAATTCCCACGTGTTGTGGGAGGGACCTGGTGGGAGATAATTGAATCGTGGGGGCAGTTTTCTCCATACTGCTCTCATGGTAGTGGATAAGTCTCATGGGATCTGATGGTTTTCCAAGGGGTTTCTCCTCTCACTGGGCTCTCCTTCTCTCATCTGCCACCAATTAGGACATGCCTTTTGCCTTCTGCCACAATGGTGAGGCTTCCCCAGCCACGTGGAACTGTGAGTCCATTAAACCTCTTTTTTCTTTATAAATTACCCGGCCTTAGGTAGGTCTTTATCAACAGCATGAAAACGGACCAATACGCTGAGATTGAGCGAGACACGGCGCCCATGAGCCCCCTCCACCTGTAAGAATCAGGAACTGGACTCTGTAAGGGTGACCATGCTCTGCAGACATTAAGATTTCCTGGAGTTGCCTCAGGGCCTTGAGAGGTTGGGCTTAAACCAGAGGGCAGGGCTCTGGAGCCCCAACCCTTTTCTGTAAGTGGCCTAATCTTCTTAATTTTTTTTTTTTTTTTTTTTTTTTTTTTTTTTTTTTTGAGACAGAGTCTCCCTCTGTCGCTCCAGGCTGGAGTGCAGTGGCGTGATCTCGGCTCATTGCAAGCTCCGCCTCCCGGGTTCACACCATTCTCCTGCCTCAGCCTCCCGAGTAGCTGGGACTACAGGCACCGCCACCACGCCTGGCTAATTTTTTGTGTTTTTAGTAGAGACGGGGTTTCACCGTGTTAGCCAGGATGGTCTGGATCTCCTGACCTTATGATCCACCCACCTCGGCCTCCCAAAGTGCTGGGATTACAGGCATGAGCCACTGCACCTGGCTATCTTCTAAATTTTTTATGTTGGACTTCATGGTTCATAATTCATGTTTGAGCGCCATGGGACCAGACTTTTCTGAGGTCCCTCCAAGGGTAACCCTCCAGGACGGCTCCAAGTCAACACATGGGTTCCTTCTCCTTCTACAAAATCATTCCAGGACACAGATACTTCCCCGCTCCCTGTGGCCAAGTCTGACTCCTTCTTCCCAACTCAGCTCAGGTGTGGGCTTCTCCATGAAGCCTCCTAACAGCCGTACACTCTTCTCATCCTGGGACCCTCCCACCCCATGTCCACGCCCGCGATCCTCCTGCAGAGATGTGTCTGTCACAGAGTGGGCACTCCGCAAACCTTTGTAGATGAATTGCTAGGATGGCAGCCCAGGATGCTGCTCTCGGTGATCTTTGAGTTCTTTTCAGTCTCTGACCCAGATGGGAGTATGGAGGCATTACAGCAGTTGCCAAGGGACCCACCTCATACACCTCTGTAAAAGACCTTTTCTGTTATAGGTCTCAGCAAATAGCTGCCAGACCGAATAGGGAATGGTCCTGTGTTTCACTGGCTCTGACCCCAGCTCTTTTGCCTGCTGGACACAGATCTGTAGCATAGAACCCTCAGTGAGCCTCCGGAGGGGCCACCCACAGTCTGTCTTTCTGGTTCTGGAGCACCTGCTACCTCATCTCAAAAATGCCACTGGACAGATTAACTGGACCCTGCAGCCCTTCTGATGTATCATTAGAGAAAACAAGTGAACTAGAAATCCACTGGCTTTAACTTTCCTTCCCAAACACAGGCCTATCCATTGGGGAAATCTCTCGGCTGCTGGGTTTGTATTTCTTTTCTAACAAACCAAAACAGTTACCTTCCTCTCCCAGGCACGGTGAAGAGAAAGATGACAACTTGGAGTGACTGGCTTATATCCCTCTGATCGTGCTCCTTGGACCAGGGCTGCTGAGGGAGATAGACCAATACAGTCCCAATCTAGCCAGATGCACCAGAAAGACCATGTGTTCAGACTCAGTTCTGCACACATCCCTGAGGTGGCTGCTCTGCACAGCCACAGGCTCTCTGGAGACCCCACCTGCCAGGTCCACTGTGCTCGAGTCTTCCTTCAACCTGGCTTCTCATCCCCAGAGCAGGACCTCTTCACTGCTTCCCACGCTTTCTCCCCGGAAGGAGAGAATATGCAACAGAAAACAAAGGAGAAATAGGGAAAACAGTGGAACTCAGAAAAGAGCGGAAAATGTAAGTGAGGGATCCCAGGAAATTCCATCTGAAGCCTGAGTCAGCATCTCCCTTGTGGACTGTTCGCCATTCCCCACCGCTTTCAGGGAAGGTTGTCTCCATGGCAACGGGGACCACCTAGTTAGTTCCCAACGCAGTCTATCCCAGGGGACCCTAAGCAACAGTCTTTCTTCACCGTTGCTCCTGCTGGCTCCCTGACTACTGGTCCTCATGGATGCTTTCCAGACACCCACACCTTCTTGGCAAGCCAGTGCCATCGGCTGCCAGAAGGAAGACACGGAGTTTCCATTTCTAACTTGCTCCTGCCTGTACCCCACCAGCCTTATGCCATTAATAATGGCGACCCCCACCCCAGCACACACATCTGCACAAGCACAGCTGGCCCTGAGCAAACTTGGCTTCACTGAGCAAAAGTGAAGCAAGACAATTGCAACAGGGTCTTCCATTCCCCTCCCTTGCAAAAAGCAAAGTTTCTCTCATCTACTTTGGGAAGTCTGAGTGTCTCTTCTTATTCCAAGTTCACTGTCCCACCATTGTCCTGCCCAGCACACCAGGAAAATTTAGCAACAGCAGAAATCCACCTTGGACAAATTCTGACCATGTTTCTGCTTTTGTGAAACCTTCCTGCAAAATCATTGCCCTCCTCAAAACCAACCATCCTCCAGACAGTCTTCACCATCAGGCTAGACACATTTCCCGCCTGGAATATCCACTTTTAGGCAGACTGAGGCTGGAACGAGGCAAGAGGACCGTCCAGCTCACAAAGCACAGGCCGGCAATGGCTGCAGTGAGTGGCCGCCTTCTGCGGCTGCTGCCTCATCACACTGATTTTATTTTTCTGATGCTCTATGATGAAGTATACCAATTAAAACATGCCGGTGTCATCATGTTTTGCCTCAAAAATAAGTCTCTTTTATCATACAAAAGAAAAATAGCATTTATAAAACAAAAGCAATCTTCCCGCTTACTTCCCGGTAAAAAGTCAGTGCACTTTTCCGGTGAACAGTTTAACGTGACTCGCCGTGTGAAATACACATGGCTTTTGACCCAGCAATTCCTCTTCTAGAAAGGTGTCATTAAGCAGATAACAGGGACTTCTGGTTAAACATGGTGGGCCTCACACAGTTTCATTCCTTCTCTCTCCTAATCCTCTCTAAAATGAAAACTAATGGAATAAAATGTTGTAAATACACAAAAACAAACCAAAAAAATCAGGTAAAGTTGCCAACGTAGTTCTGAAAGATGGTGCGTGGAGCTGAAGGCTGAAGTCCAAGCACCTGGGGAAACGGGGGCTGTTGGAAATCAAGCTCTACTCCCTGAAGAACCTGGAGAGGCTCCCAAACTTGGGCACCAGCAGCCGTGGGAGGTGGGGAGGCCGTGGGCTGAAAAGGAAGAGTGGGGACAAGATGTGCATGAGAGGCGTAGATGCCTGTCCCTCATCCCTCCCCTCCCCACATACCTCCCTTGCCCTGGCTACTGCTGAGGACGTAAGACATCCAGAATGACATGGAAGCTGTTAACAAAAGACCAGTGATATCTGTGGAGGCAATAGGAGAACCTTATTTTCTAAAAGCAAATACATTTTGCTTTTAGAAAAACCTGTGATTGTGGACACGCAGCCTTTGGTGTAAGACACAGGTGGAGGGGTGGAGGATTGGGAGATGATGAAGGCAAATCGTTTGGAGTAAGAGTTTGGGGGGCGTTCGTTGCAGGATCCAGACTGAAAGGCCTTTAAGCAAGACATTGCCAGTCTCTCTGCATCAGCCTCAGGTGACCTGTGGGTGGTCAATAGGGAATTTTAAGCCAAGGTCTAGCTCAGCACCAACGACAGGAGCTGGTCAGGCCTGATGGTAGAGAGGGAGGTCACACTTCCACAGCATCTTCCCGAGGACACGGAGTGGGTGACCGCTTCCTTACCCTGCCATGACCGACCGCTTCTGTTTAACTCTGAGTGCCTCAGGTGGCCACGGGGAGTCCCTTTTGTCTGTGGGCTGGGAGCACACTTAACAAAGCTTGCTTTCAGGAACACATGCCCAGTAGAGGTCGGCGGGGTGCGAGGTTGGAAATGAGATTAAATAAATGTCTACGTAATATTCACAGAGACCCCAGCTCTCTCCTGAAGCTCAGCTCCAGGAACGGTGGTGGTCAGGGCACGGCCACACAGTCTTACCTTGACTGCTCAGGAAAAGGCCTGGCTGCTGCCAAACACAAGATGTATAGATAACCACAACAAAGCTGCCCGCTTCCAGCCCCGTCATGCTGCAGAGACCTCACCGCGGGCGGCCCCCTGCACACGTGGAAGCCCCCAGTCAGGGCCAGTGCCTCTCTCCTCAATGCAGGCCGAAAGGCATCTGGAGTGGGGAGAGCATGGCCAGCAATAGACACTGCAGATTCAGTGGCAAAGACGGGGGCAGAGCTGGAAAAGTGAAAGAAAGAGAGAATAAAATGAGAACAAGAATCGGGGTATGAGCTGTCAGGAAGACGCTGAGGAGAAAAGCCTGTCACAATCTTCTCATCCATTCTTCTGCTTTATTCAGACCGTCGGGTCCTTGTCTGGCCTCAGGAAGGAACAAGAGGCAGGGTATCTCAAAATTCTGCTAGCTGTTAACATAGTTTCTTGTTGGTCTTGTCGCTTTCTGCATTTTTATGACTTCCCAGTAAAACTCAGCATTCGGGGAGGGAAGGCAGGGAGAGTGGGAAGTGGGAGAACCTGGGACTGGCATTGGTGAGGGGGCTGTGCTGAGGTCAGAGGTGATCTTCTCTGGCCCAGCAGAGACCTAGAGCCTCTTGACAGTCAGGCCCAGGTGAGTGAAATGAGGGTCAAAGCCAGGGCAGAGGGGCGTTGCAGCCTCCAGGGAGCTGGAAACAGATACTGGTGGGAGGGAGGAGGGGGGGGGCACAGGGAGAAAGGGAAAGAACTTCTATTTTAAGGTCCTGATGTTGAAAATTCTGATGAGCTCCCAGTAAAATAAGTAGAGATAAGACAATGGTCCTCAAGGCTGAGATGGAAAAAAGGTGGCCATGGAGGCGGCGACAACCTCCTCCCTTCCCAGCAGACAGGGAAGAGCCGCACGGTGAGCCAGAGGCAGCTTCTGCCTTCCACTGCCTTTGGACTCAACATCGACCTTACCTGAGTTTCCAGCCTGCTGGTCTTCAGACTTCAGATCTCCCAGCCCCACGAGGGAGTGAAATAACTCCCTGAAATCTCTCTCTCTCTCTCTCTCTCTCTCTCTCTCTTTCTCGATCTGTTTCTCTGGAGAACTCGGACTCAGGTAGATTTTGGTCTGAGGAAGGTGAGAGCAAGTTGTGATTTCATTCAGCAAGGGTGCCTTGAGCTTGGACTTCCCTGAGCCTGCACACACAAGGATCCACACTGGAGGGCTCCTCCATCTAGAGGAGTCACCATGGAAGCAGAGAGTAAAAATACAACTGAGAGGGGTGGCCGTGGAAATGTGTATGACTCACACAGGAACACCAGGATGTGCACAGGAGCACCGAGGATGCACACAGCAGCACGGGGATGCACACAGCAGCACGGGGATGCACACAGCAGCACGGGGATGCACACAGAAGTACTGGGGATGCACATAGGAACACCGGACACGCACACAGGAGCACTGAAGATGTGCAGAGGAGCACCAGGGATGTGCACAGCAGCACCAATAATGCCCACAAGAGCACCAGGGATGCACACAGGAGCACCAGACATGCACACAGGAGCACCGGGCATGTGCACAGGAGCACTAGGGATGTGCACAGGAGCACCAGGGATGTGCACAGGAGCACCAGGGATACAAACAGGAGCACCGAGAATGCGAACAAGAGCACTGGGGATGTGAACAGGAGCACTAAAGATACACACAGGAGCACCAGTGATGCCCACAGGAGCACTGAAGATATGCACAGGAGCACTGAGGAGGCACACAGGAGCACCAGGGATGTACGCCCCACCCAGAGCCAGGAGGAGTCTGGATGGCTCCCTGAAAGTCATGATGCTTGGGTGAGTCGGTGAAACGGAGGGAACATTGGCACCTGAGTCCAGATGACCACACTCACCAATTCCAGAGGCAGCTGCTGCACAGCAGGAGTGTGTGTGAAGGTGGCTGGGTGCAGGGGCAGAGGCTTAGTAGACACAGGCAGCAAAGGTGCTCAGGTACCTGGCATCAAGGGCTCACGCATCAAGTTGGAGTTTGGGTCTTACCCTGTGGGCTGCGGAGTGCCTCTGAATATTCTAAATAGAGAAGTGACTTGGTCAAGATTTTCACTAGGAATATATGTTATTATTTATTAGAGTCACCATATTGTGCAACAGGTCACCAGAGCTGATTCCTGCTACCTATCTGAAACTGTTCCCTTTGACCGGAATACCCTAAGAGAGGATTTAAATATGTTCTTCCATAAAGAAATGGCAAACATTTGAGGTGACAGGTACGTTAATCAGCTTGATTTGTTCATTCCACAATGTGTATATATACATATGCTGAAACACATTGTGCCCCATACATATATATAGCTATCATTTATTAATAAAAATATAACAAATATGAAAACAAAAAAATTAAAGCATCTCCCCCAGGAAGATCTCTCTGTGATGGATTTGAGGGAGTGAAACCAGAAGAGTCCTCCTAGGAGGCTATGGTGGTGCTCCAGGCCGGAGACAAGGGTGTCCTAAGCAGCTGAGGCTGCAGGAGGGTAAGTGAAGGAGACAGAGTAACAGGACTTGCTGCTAAATAGCCCACCATGGTCAGGAAGGGAACCCAGGATGTGTGGACGTTCTGGTTTGAGAATTGCAGTCTTTGACAATGCACAAGGAGGAGTGGGTTTGGGTCCAGCGAGGGTGGTGATGGGTTTCGGGAGAGGCCTGGGATAGTGAGGTGCCTGGATGGCCACACCACCGTGACCAATTTGCTTATGCAGGTCACACCCAACAGCGACAGAATCACAGGCTGAAGTAGCCACCAGAGCCTGGATGTGGCAAAGACGAGCCCATGAAATAATCCACACTGTGCACTGGAGGAAGATGACGGGGACGGGGCATCCTCTGTAAAAAGCAGGAAGGAGGAGGAGGTCCTCAATAGCATGGGGCTAATGACCTAGAATTCTACAGTCGTACAACTCTATCATTTTCCAGGGTAAGAATGAAGGCTTTAAGGGGCTTTACTCCCATTTTACAAAGAGGGAAACTGTTACAGAGGGATAGCTTCCGCTCTAGCTCCAGTTCTGTGGATATGATACTAGCTCTTGGAAGTGACGTCCTGAACCTGAGCCGATGAGCCTGAGGGCATGCCCTGTGATACCAAGGACCTCAGCATGATCAAGGACACTTTCAGGGGGCAGCCAGGACCAGGAACCCTGAGGTCCAGGTCTGGGCTCCTCTCCCGCAGCCCTGCTGAGCCGGCACTGCCAGGCGTGCACCAGGACCAGGAACCCTGAGCTCTAGCCTGGGCTCCTCTCCCGCAGCCCCGCTGAGCCGGCACTGCCAGGCGTGCACCAGGACCAGGAACCCTGAGCTCCAGCCTGGGCTCCTCTCCCGCAGCCCCCCAGAGCCAGCACTGCCAGGCGTGCACCCAATGGCTGCTCACATTCTCTGATTTCCGCTGTGGGTGACAGGAAAATGGTGCTACATTCCCTGGGCTGGTGGCTCAAGCCCAGAGTCAGCATCCGTTTTTAAATGATATACACATGACAGTTTTTATGGCATCCTTTCTGATATCAAATCCTCTCTCTTCACTTCCAACTCAGAATTAATTGAGAACGTTTCTTCCTTAGATTTGATGCTCCTTATGGTTATTGAGGCCCATCTGCACAGGTAAGAAGCTTTATACAAGTAACCATAATACCTTGCATTTTTCCAGTGTGCATTTTTTCTGGACAGATCAAAAGACTATGGCATCGCCCTCCTGTGCCTGAAAGGAAACATTTGCTCACGTGCCATGGATGCACTGTGGGTGAGGTCGCACTTGCCTGCATGTGGAAGCTGCCACCTGACGCACACTTACATATCTTGCAGGGAACCAGCAGGGCAAACACCTCTTCCTCCTGAAGCTGAGTGGCTTGGACAGGCACGACGGTGCACCAGGAGCCCAAGGGGAGATCAGGGCTGCAAGAACCAGCATGACCACAGCCTTCCAGTTCAGAGGCCCGGGGTGGAAGGAGGGATTTGACCACACCATAGGCATCAGGAAACGGTCGCGTTGCCTGCGATAGACTCACTGAAGATGCTCCAGCCTCGTCTGTGTGGAGGGACACAGGCTTCAGGGCAGGAGCACAGAAGGAGGTGGGCACTGCACCACCCGCAGGGGCCAGTGGTGAGGATGGGCAGAAGATTCAGGGACGTGACCTTGGGTTCAAGGACATCTGGGCTGTGAGGAAGGAGAGATGCTCTGGCTGGAGGCCTCGTCACCTAGGACACCAGGCCTGGAATGCAGGTCTCCATTCAGCCCCCACTCACTACTGAGCCTCCTGCTTGGAACAAATAACTCCCAGAGGAGGAAATAAAGATGGCGCACGGAGCTTTGAGCACTGTCCCGCTACACCACGGATCCAAGTGATGAGGGAGACAGGAGAGGCTTTGTTTCCCTTTGGCGATCAAAGTTTAAAAGATGAATAATCCAGGTTGTTACTAGTGAGTGAGAGAGCATGCTACACATACTGCCGTACGCTATGGTAAAAGTCAACGTGGAATAAAATGATAAAGGAAGCAATAGCCATCAAGGAACTTTGAGGGAACTTTTCCTAATTAAATAATCTAAAACAAGAATAAAACCGTATTCACCAGGATGTTCACTATGTTGCTATTTATGGTATTAAAAATAAAAACAATACAGTGTCCACAGTTAGGGAAATGGTTCATGATAACACTTCTCTGCAATGCAAAGTGGACGTAAGAGCAAACGGGAGTTCACACACTGAGAACGAGGAAATGGCAATGCATTGACATGAGAAGGACTGAACCAGCAATGACCTGTGCAGTGTGGTTCCTGGGAGAGGCCCCGGCCAGTGCGGAATCTCACAGCCGGAGTCAGAGCCACAGTGGAGCCTCCCAGAACCTCCCTGAGCTCTACCTGCCTGCTCTGTAAAGCAAAGATAGAAATGCTGGTCTCAGGCCAGGCGCGGTGGCTCTCACCTGTAATCCCAGCACTTTGGGAGACCGAGGTGGGCGGATCACTTGAGGTCAGAGTTCATGACCAGCCTGGCCAACATGGTGAGACTTCGTCTCTACTAAAAATGCAAAAATTATCTGGGTGTGGAGATGCATGCCTGTAATCCCAGCTTCTCGGGAAGCTGAGGCAGGAGAATCGTTTGAACCCAGGAGGCGGAGGTTGCAGTGAGCCAAGATCACACCACTGCACTCCAGTGTGGGTGACAGAGTGGGACTACGTCTCAAAAAAAGAAAAAAGAAAAGAAATAAAAAGAAAAGCTTGTCTCACGTGACTGGAGAGGGGATGAAAATCAGATAATGTATCAGAGGCATGGTGATCACATAATTACCATTAAGCACTTTAGATAGAAACCCAGGCCGGGCGCGGTGGCTCAAGCCTGTAATCCTAGCACTTTGGGAGGCCGAGACGGGCGGATCACGAGGTCAGGAGATCGAGACCATCCTGGCTAACATGGTGAAACCCCGTCTCTACTAAAAAATACAAAAAACTAGCCGGGCGCGGTGGCGGGCGCCTGTAGTCCCAGCTACTCGGGAGGCTGAGGCAGGAGAATGGCGTAAACCAGGGAGGCGGAGCTTGCAGTGAGCTGAGATCGGCCACTGCACTCCAGCCTGGGCGACAGAGTGAGACTCCGTCTCAAAAAAAAAAAAAAAAAAAAAAAAAAAAAAAAAAAAAAAAAGAAACCCAGATTTCCTACCTTGTGTTCTGGGTAGATAACACAAACCAGGTGTAGACACGGCGAAGACACCTGGAGACCTCTCAAAGCCAGCTGGGGTTCTGTACGCAGGTCTGTGACAGAGGCAGCGGCCTGAGACCTCAACACCGAACGAAACAGGGGCTGGGTGAGAGAGGGCCTCTGCAGACCTGAGCCCCTCCTGACTGGGCCCCCAGCACCTGGGAGGGCAGGATGATAAAACACCAGCTAAGGCTCTTTAATTGGTTATCTGCATGCATGCCTTTAAGCCTACGGTTTTGTGAGTAATAAATAATCCATTTCAGAGTTTAGGGTCCATTCTCTCAGCTGATTTTGTGGCAGCCTGCCCTGTTATTAACAGGCTTTGAGGTCTGGAGCAAGACACTTTCCTTTTTGAACTCAGTTTTACTATCTGGCAAAATATGTGGGAAGACCCTGAGATGCAGGGTCCTTGCCAGGCAACATTTTTCCTCCTTCAGGCCTAGACCGAGGCTGGTCCTTGTCTTCACAGTCAGGCTGGGCCAAGGTCACAGTCGGGAGGACGCTCCAGCCCTGCCTGGCTCCTCTCCGTCCTCCCCTTCCCCTCTAGAGCAGACTCTAATAATAATGGTGATCATGGTGAACCCTCCCCTGCGTCTTGGAAGGAGACAATTTAAACTAAGTGCAACTAAGGCAAAAGATTTCTCTTTTCTTTTTCCCCTTCTTATTTTTTAATTCTACTTCTCCAGTATAAGGAACACATTAGGAAGATAACAGGGGAATACGCATGGGAAGCAAAGGATTCTGGTTCTCTCAGAAGAGGGTGACCCCCACCAGCCTTCACTGTCCTCGGAGGGCCCACATGTCCCACAGAGCTACTGGGGCCCTTGGTGGGTGTGGGCGTGGGGGGCTTGGAGTCGCTGGCTGTCAGCAGAGAGGGCTGCTGAGAAGAACAGCAGACATGGGGAAAATCCCCAGAACGTGTGCAGGGAGAGTGACTTTCGCACCCCACGGCTGACAGGGACGTCGCCTGCAGGTCCCACGCGGGGCTGGCTCTTTACCTTCTCCAGAGTCCGCAGCACAGGTGGCTCAGGCTAGGCTGGGCTCAGAGACAAAGGCTCTTTCCAGAGCCAGCCTCCTGCTCTTTCCCAATAGAGACAGCCCCCTCCCACCATGCACTTGGAAATTTTGCCTCCCCACACCCGTACGTGCAAACCCACACGCAGGGTGGAGAGGCTCTCTGTCGCATGTCCCGGGTCTGAGGACATGACCGGAGTGGAGTCGGGGAAGTCCCTCAGGGGCAAGCACACGGGCAGCTCTGTCTGCTGATCCTTCCAGTCTCCCTCTCTTCCGCCTCAGAGCTCGTCTCTTTGCTGTCCTTAGAAATGCAAAAAGTACAATTAATAATTAATGGAGTGAGAGCCTCTTGTCTGTGTTATTCAATGCCCAAATGCTAGGACAGACCAGCCCCGAGAGTGGCTTGAACCGCATGGATCCTGAGCTGCACTTAGAGGCATGTTGATTTCCTCCCATCTCCCCTCCCTGGAAATAAGGGCAGGCCCAGATGCAGTGCACCGGGCCAGGCCAGACAAGGGCCCGGATGTAGAGCATGGGGCCAGGCCAGACAAGGGCCAACATGCAGCACATGGGGCCGGGCCAGACAAGGGCCCAGATGCAGCACGCAGGGCCAGGCCAGACAAGGACCCAGATGCAGCACGAGGGGCCAGGCCAGACAAGGGCCCAGATGCAGCATGAGGGGCCAGGCCAGACAAGGGCCCAGATGCAACATGAGGGGCCAGGCCAGACAAGGGCCCAGATGCAGCATGAGGGGCCAGGCCAGACAAGGGCCAACATGCAGTGCACAGGGCCAGGCCAGACAAGGACCAAGAGGCAGCGCATGGGGCCAGGCCAGACAAGGGCCAGATGCAGCACGTGGGGCCAGGTCGGACAAGAGCAAGTGCTTGCCACGTGATGGTGCACCTCGAAGGACCATCCTGATTCCAAGGGCCTGTCCATCTGCTGGATGATGGTAAGAGGGCCAAAGTAAGGCCCCAGGCTTTTTTTAGCAAAAGGTACTTTTGCAGGGTTCACAAACCAAGGTCATCATCACTGGACACCATGTCTCTCAACTTGTAGGGTGGCATTGTCTTTCCCATGTCACAGATGACTAAATGGAGGCACAGCAGAGTTTGCCTGAAAAGCACACTGCTACTAAGCTGTTCCATCAATTCTAAGGTACTCATTGAAAAATATATTTCAACATCAATGGCGTGTCAAATGTAGTTGATGCCATCTTTTTAGAGGTACATAAATATCTTATAGTTGATGGGATTTACTAAAGCAAATCTGGGATTAGCACACTCCCCTTCTGTTCAGCTACTACTCTGGTGCTCTGTTTGTTGGGAAGATAAGGAAACAAGAAGATGTGCACCTGGCAGGCTGTCCCCACCCATCCCTGTGTGCACCATCTCTTCTCCTGCCTGGAGGAAGCACTCTCCTTAAATGAAGACGAAAGGTCCATGGTGGTGGGTGGTGGGTGGTGGGGGAAGACAGGATGCAAACCTGCAGCCTGTGGAATCCAGCTGACTCAGCCTCTGCTGCTCCCTCTGTGACTGTGGGCAGGTTTCTGGGCAGTGGGATTAGTGATGGTGCTCCCAGGTGGGCCTCCAAGTGCCCATCCCATCTCTCCATGCAGTCATCTGGCCATCCCTGGGAGTGGCCAGTCCTCCTCCCTCTCTGCTCTCTAAGCCCTGTCCTGTGCACTAGCAGCAGAGGCAGGGGCTCTGGATGGGCTTCCCAGCTGTGAGCACCTTAAAGGCAGGGGCTTTGTCATATTCATCCCTCACCAAGCCTGCAAGATGCTAAGAACACATCTCTCCTTGCAATTTGAAAAACGGAGGAAGCATACCTGACTTCATTCCCTTGCTAATTTCTCATGATTAACCAGGCTGATATGAGTATTGTGTTTCGCTGTGAAGAAAGAGGACCCGTATTATAGTTTGGCTATTTCAGAGTACACCAGGCACATTCGGCCAAGGCTTTTACTGAAAAATCTCGGCAGCCCTCTGTAGGAGCTGGTGCCTGCTCTTGCAGCCAAGCTTGGTTCTCTGCAGCCTTCTGAGCGCAGTCTGGCCAGGTTGGTTATGGCTGTTCCCCAGGCTGCTGTGGAAGGCTCTTGTTGGCTCAGGCACCAATCCCTCTTTCAAGTCACAGCGGTCAGGGTCACAAAACTGGTTTTGGAGAAAATGATATAAAACTGACTGACATAATCTCCACCCCAATTTGCCCCAAAAGGAGCAGGGTAAACAGCAGGCACTAGGGGGCTGCAGCCTCAACCCACAAGGGTGAGATCTTGTCACACAACAACCTCACCTTTGGAAGGGTAGCAGGTGCAACGTTAGACTTCACAAGCCACACACGGCACTCAGCACATGGGAGCCCAGGGCCCCTGTGGCCTTCCCCTGTGTTGCCTGCAGGCAGAGCTCCCACCTCTCCCACTGCAGTCAGGAGATGGCAAACCCCAGCTCTGTCCTCAGGACAGCGCCTCACCCATGCTTTTCACGAGGAGGAGGATAAAATCCACCCTTCAGGGTTGTTGGGAAACTAAATGAGACACCATGTAGGGGCACAGCAAGGTCTATGGAGGCCCTGGAGTTGCTGCTGGTTCATTCCTTTGTGTCTTCAAGATCCAGGCAAAACAAGCAAGCATGGGATGGGATGGGACGGGAGCAGCCGTGGGGTGCGGCAGGCTGCCCACTTCCCCGGCCTGGGTCTCTGCCCAATACCTCAGACTCCATCCTGCCTGGCAGCTAAAGTGGCTCTGCTGGCTCCTTCCAAGAGCTCTCAGCCTGAGCCGCTATCGATTATAGACACTTTGCACGAGGCCGGTAAGATAGGAGGGGAGAAAACGCAGCAGCCATCCAGAAATAATTAGAAGAGAAAAGGACTCCCCAGATCCACCTCTTTTCTGAAAAGCCTGAGACCAATGCCCCCTCGTCCTCCACCCTCTCTCCATCTCACACACACACACACTATTGCCAAAAAATGTGTGCTGAAAAATCAGGTTGGCGATTGTGTTTGATCCCGGCTTCTAGCTGTCTTTCGGAAGGGTCTGCGGTCAAGGACATTCCTTTTTTTTTTTTTTTTTGAGACAGTCTCACTCTGTCTCCCAGACTGGAGTGCAGTGGCGCCATCTCAGCACACTGCAAGTTCTGCCTCCTGGGTTCACACCATTCTCCTTTCTCAGCCGCCCAAGTAGCTGGGACTACAGGCGCCTGCCACCATGCCCAGCTAATTTTTCTGTATTTTTTTTTTCAGTGGAGACGGAGTTTCACCATGTTAGCCT